AAAGCTCCCGGGGTCCAGCAGCTTCCCCTGGTGAGCCAAAAACAAGTGACTCACCATCACCAATAACACCAAATGCTGCTACGTCAACACAGGTACAGTTTTTAAATGTTGAAACAAAATCTTCACAGTATGTTGTTTGGTCTGGCACTATAGAAACGGGGCATAGTTTCACATGGAATGAGTACATTTGCTGTTGCAAAGGAGTGTCTGGGACTCCATTTTCTGTTTGGGAGTCTATAGACTAGAACCCAGGCTTAGCTGTTGGCAATGATGAAATTCCCACAGACTGTAGTAAAGCCATAAATTCACTGAAATTCGTTATGGCCCGTAGAAGATCTACAGCTTTCCCAGAAGTTGTTTAAAAGGTCATATCTGTGGTTTAGTCCAGTTGTTATTGATTACTTAATGTCTGTCTTCATTCTGGGCAAGGTCTTGAACTCGTTAGAATTAAACTTAGCTGAAACAACAACAGTTGACATCAGTTCCATTATCTCCAGAAAAGTCCATTAAAAGTAACGTTTCCCACATAAGTTATATGTTCTCTCCTATAGTTTTAAAATACTGCCTAAGGAATTTACTATTTAAGAAATGAAAGTAACCTTTATGTTGATTTTTCTGTGAGGTTTTCTTGAGTTACTTACAAGAAAAGGAAAGTAACTAAGTCTGCCATGGCAGATAAAACGTCTTTATAGTAGAGCATTTAAATGCGTGAGGATTTAAAGAACAGTGGATTTGAATGAAAACATTTGACTGTTTTCACAAGAGTTGCAAAAATGACTTTCAAAAGAGAACTCTTCTTAGAACAATTTAGTTTTGTGATTTGAAATGGACAGTAACATCACCTGCCCTATCTTTATACACATTATAAAAGTGCTGATGTAAAATAACTTGCCAAAACAGTAATGAAACAAGCATCATGTGCTACAAATTAATTTCTTTTATCTTCTATTAGCTACTGAAAACCCAGGGTTATATGCATAATCATACAGTTATCTGGATGCTTTCTGGAATATCTTGTACAGCACTTGCTTCACAGGTCTTTATCTTCACCTTTGAGTTAATCAGTAAGTTTATTCATCAATGAGATATACGTATTTATTTAAAGGTTACTATGTTTAGCTTAAATAGATTGTTTATGATGTTTTCTGTCATACCTCAGCTAGTAATTTTAAACTCACTAACTTAAGCCCAGTTACGAGAAGAAGGCTTTGCTTTTAACTAGATTTCTGCAACTTCCATGGAACTTTTTCTCTGGATGGAGAAAGAGGCGCAAATTAAGGCTCCAGTGGAGGGAGAGGCAAGCAAAGTCATCATACATTGTCTGATGGCAACTAGCTTGAATGGTCGGCCAACTCCAAACTAGCCAGATTTAACAGTGCTCATTTCCACTCATTAACAGCTTGGTCATTTGAGACTGACAGAGCTAAGTAAATGACAACTTGTGCTTATATTCTGAGTTATACTTGTCTAGAGGAACCATGAGTTTGTGTTTATGTGCTGAAATGAAGAGTAACAAAAATTTTGCCTCATATCAATGCTGAATGAGTTGTTGAATCAAATTTACGCACGTCTGCTGAGAAATTATGTGTGCTAGAAAAAAGTCCTGGATCCTGAACTACTGTTTCTCCCAGGAAGCCCATTTTCCTGTGGTACATAAATGAAAACAGCTATATTACTATCACAATAAATTATCTGGTAGAAAGACTTGGGTTTTCATCACAGTATTATATATATGAAGTGACTTACAAATTACATCAGTTTAATAATATTGCACTCAGCTTTGTGTACTTGGTATCAATATACCACACATGTATGAGCAAACACAGAAATTTCAGTAATGTTGTCATTTTTGTTTAATTAGCTGAAACGTTTTGTATTAATTTGAGCAGTATTCCTTAAGCAGAAAGTGTGAATTTGATGGAAATTCAAAAGCTTTGGGACTTTAACTTCCATTTCATGCAAGTCTGTACCTGGTGAAAACAAGTTGTTTTAGCCTGTATAACACAAACATTAAAATACTTTGTTTTGAAAGAATTTAAGTGTGTATCAAAATTTGACCAACATGTGAATGGTACTACTATAAATGTGTAATATTCTTCAGGTTAATGTTCATCAACTGTAATCTATAATGGGTTTTGTTCAGGACTTCCTAAGAGTGTTCCTTCATCACTTTCTCCACTACACAAAGGAGAAAAAGATGCATAACTTTGCAGTTCAAATTATTTTCATGCTTGTCTTTTTATTAAGCATTCTTTTGGAAAATGCATTTATTTTTATATTTAAACTCTCAGAGGATTCGTAGCAAAGCCAGGGCTCTACATAGGGAACTTGCTGCAATTTATAAATTAAGACACGAACAAAAGATAAGACAGAACTGAGTATTGAGTTCGTACCGTATAAAGTAATGTAAAATTAAACAGTTAAATATGAGATAAATATTGTTCATGCTCCAAAGATGTTATTGTCTTAATGACCATGGATGCTTGACAACTGAGTAGCTCAGGATCAGGAATTAGTCTCCTTGATTTTCTTGTCACTAGACTAGACAGAAAAAGTATTGCAAAGTTCATATTCAAAAACAATGCTGGACACAAAGTACAGTACATCCATTTTATTTCATTGTTTCCTAGCATATGGATTAAGATGTGAATAGGGTTTCATGTCGAGAGAATGTAATTTGTGTTGAATAAATTGAAAACAAACCACATGAAATTAGATTCCTGAGTAAAGAGTTAGGTTCCTAATGGAGAGTTAAATAAAAATACTCAAAGCAATACATGCCAAAAAGTTTTCAAGTAGGAAGCGTAAAATAGATACATGACTGCAGCAACAAAATAACAGAGCACTTGAACTTGTTTGAAAAAGCACTTCAGATAGAGCTTCAATCCTTTGCTTATGGATTTCATAACATATTACAGACGCTTCTGTGCACAGATCTAAAATGTGAAGCTGCTCTTCTGCAAAATAAAGCAGATGCTTACCTTGTTGTTCCTTTTGAAATAAAGAATAATAGCACAGCATGTCTCTACAGGAGATGTGTCTGGGAAATTGCTCCTTCATTCTTTTAATTTCCTCTGACAAATTTTACATTTTATTACAACATAAAATACAAGACTGTTTTGAAAACAGTAGAGTGCAGCCAGAATTCTTTTCAAGGCTTCCTCCTCCACGCATTTCCAGGCCTCAGAGGACGTAACATAACTTTTGAGAACCTTCAGCTCTCGTTGACTGATGACCTAAAACTTGCTTTAACCTGATGTATTTGCATCTGGTAAGGATTAGGCATTTTAACCACACCACTCTAAACAGATCAAATTGTGGTATTCACAATTCTGAAGACATTGAACAGTTATCTTCAAAACATCTGAAGTATTTTGCTTGATGAGAGAATATAATGACTGTTTTAATATATTCACTGTTGCTTGTTGACCTGATAGATGCTTGTTTGCAGTTACAAGAAAAGGTCCAGAAACCATATTATCTGTAACTGGAAATAGAAGATCTGTTCAAAGGAAATAATCTTTACATTACTTTATGAAGTAACCACGTTAAGAAGTTGAGACCTGTTAATTTAGTTTTTTGAACTTAAAAATCTATCAAGTAAATGATACACATGGTTCATTGCCTCATCTAACACTTTCAGGTAAAATTGGGAAGTCTGTAAAAAGCTTTGTATTTCATGTAGCTATTAATCCTTTTTAGTTGAGGATAACAGCTAATGTAAGGAAAAAGTAATTTGCTGTATGGCAAGAGGAGAATATTTAACACTGTAAATTTCAAGCAATATAAATTTAAAAGGTGGGGTTTTTGTAATTGAGTGGTTTGTTTTGTTTTTTTTTTGAACGTTTCTAACTTTTCCGTTTTAAAGAGTTTTGTTGGGCTGTCATCATGGAGTTGTTTTCATAGCCTATAAAGGGTTGCTAAATAGTATGTTTGAAGTCAAGTTATTTGGGTTCAAGAAGGATCAGAATGATGAATGGTAAATGATTATGTAATGAATAAGCTGAAGAATCAAACATTTAAAATGCTTTTTAGATGGGACTTCAGGAAAAGAAAACTTAAGAACCAGTGAAAATCATGAGATCGTTAGAATTCTCCTGTGCTTTATGGTAATACCGTACGTGACACTTTGATTGAAAGACAAACTAAGTGCTTTTTTTAAATGTTACTGCTATAACTAGAATAAGCGTTTTAAACTTGATAGCACCAGGAGTGCAGTATGTTGGAATAACAGCACCCAGAACCCTTTTTTAAAGGGTAAGTCCCTCTAAAGTCACCTGTCAATTCTTATGCAAGTCCAGCAAGTAACAGATACTGTGTAGATATCGGATGCTTTCCAGAGCAAACACTTTGAAAGTTGGATATAAAAATAGAGGCATTTATATCTTTAGCCTGCCACCATAAACTGACACAACCTCAAGACAGGCATGTGTGCAATGTTTCAGTGGCCAGGCATGGCATATTAAATCTTGCAATTTAGTAAAGCAGTATCAGCTTTTCCTCTGGATGGCTGCACTACAGAAGGATCAAAAACGCTATACGGTTTAGATGGGTTACGGCAAGCTAGCTATAGCCGCCTGTTGGCAGCTGATGGTTGGAGACGCTGCAAAATGTGTAAAAGAAACACAGAGAGAGAAGGGAAAATTATAATAATTTAATTGTAAGCAAAAGTCAGAGAGCTTAGTGCATGCAGACTGGCACCTTGGTAATTGCCATCCCAGAAATACAAAAGAACCAGGACATGAAGTTGCAAAATGTGTACCAAGTGTTTTTAGCAAACTGATGTAAGTCCTTTGTGGTACAGTCTCATGGAAGAATAGTAGAGCACAGGAAGAAATGAATTAGGAAGAAGGACCCCATCTGACTTAATTAGAATGCAAGGCTTTAGAATGTATTCTGAAGAAAAAAGATATTTACTAGTAGGAATATAAAGGAAATGGATGGGCTTTTATAAAAGGAATATTGTACTAGGTGATCTAAGTGCTTTCTTAAACAATGGAAATATAACTGATCTCATCTGTCTGGATTTAATACTGTATGGTATTAAACACTAGCAAAACCGGAGAAGATGGAGATTAGCAAAGACAGAAAGAGGGAAGTATAGGGTTGAAAGGAAGTTGGTAATAGTGCTCTGCAGGAGTTGATTTGGGGACATTCTGGTTTCATGTTACCATTAGCAACCTTGACACAAGAATGGGTCACATAACAAAAGTTGGAAGGCATAGTCAGCAGAGTTAGATTGTTGTTATGCAGAAAGAACCGGTTGATTTGGCTTTTAGGAGAGAAATGGAATTCCAATAGAATGGAATAGTTCTTAAAAAGAAAAATACACAACACCTCTCCTTCCCATGAAAAAGAAATGTGGAAACCCGGGGACTCTGACTCAAGAGAAAACTGAGGAGGAAGACAGTTGGGGTGCAGCGGTCAGCAGTGAAGTGACTGTGAGCTACTCTGTACTTCCTCTGTAAAACTGCAAGTATGTCAGAAGCAGTGATTCCAGTAGAAGTGTTAATGCCACTGTAAGGAGTCAGTGAGACCCCATATGGAATATCTTAAACATTTCCAGTTACTTATATCCAAGAAAGACTAATGAAAACTGTAACACAAACAGGAAAGGATGATCAGGGAATGAAAAATCTCTTTTCTGAGAAAAGCATAAAAATTCATTTGTGTAGCTAGAAAAACAAGGGCTGAGATCTGTTTATGTGCAGAGTCTATATCCCATCAGAGGGATATTCACTACAGAAGGAAATAGGTTTTAAATCAGAAAACAATTTCAGCACAGAAAAAAACGATATTACAAAGTTAAGCTCAGTGAAGTTTGTTTATTATGTAGGAAAACTTATGGGAATTTTCTGGTAGGCGTGGCAGTGCCAGGAAAAGAATAATAATAAAAAAGTCCTAAGCCTATATGGAATTTCTTAAGTTTATAGAAGAAATTACACACATGATGTTTGTAACAGCAAGGGAACAAACTCAGTAAAGTTCAGGCTACTGGATTGTACCTACACAGTAATATAATTGTCAAATACAGAAAAAATGCGCCTCCTGGCAGAGTCAGAGGTGCGGTTACCGTGAAAATACAATAGGAAGTTGTCTTTTCAAAATACATCTCCTCTGCTGCTGCGTGATCATTCTGAAACAAGAAGTTTTTTCCTATGTGGATGTTTGACCTTCATGAAAGAGAGGCTTTTCTGCCTGTACTAGTTTGGGTGGTAAGATTCTCCTTGTGTACACAAGATTCTGACTTCACAGACAGAAAATAGTGACAGCTTGAATTCTGTAGTAATAAAGGAGTGTTTTCTGTAACTTCAGTAGGCTGCTTCAGTATACATGTAGTGTGTCTAGGGTCAAATTTTAATGTTGCTTCAAGTGGAGTAATAACAAGTGGTGGTATCTCTGCTAACAATGCATTCCATTCTTCCTTTAATTATTTTTAACCCTTATATCTTCTTTATTTTATAATTAATAAAATTTTGTTTGACCTATTTTTCTGTACTTAGTTGCATATAAAAGTATAGAAATTAGTTATATTCTTAAAATTTGTAATTTTTTGGTTCTAGAAGCCTTCATATATGAACTTGGTAAAGCTAACAAGAAAATAAATTTATTTGACATAACCTTTTCCTGTAATTCTGACTGACTACCTTGAAGAGAAGAATTCTTTCTTATCCTTATGCCAGGAGCAAAAGTACTTTAATGACAGCTGTCAGTTCTAGAAGAATTTTGCAATTATAAAGTTAAGAACTGGCATCAATTGCTTAATCTGATTCTGGGATATCAACCAGAGACAAATACACGTTAGGAGCAGTTTAAGTAAAATGTTCCTGACTTGAACGGGTACTTCTGAGGGTCCTTCCAACTCTTTTTTATGATTTTGTAAGAAAGACAGAAAATGTTTTCATGGTATTTCTTTATTTGTTTTTCATGTATGTTAAAAGGAGAAAAGAATTCTGCAAATTAAAACAACAGTGTAAAGGTTATGAAAACAAAGCCCTTCCTGAGGGCTTTTTTTGTATGTTGTTATAAATCCTTTTTGATTATTATTCTTTTTACCTGCAGAAAAAACAACAATAATGATAAAGAAAAATGTTAATGTTGGAAAAATATTTATTATTATATACTACAAAAATTTTATATTAAAATCAATTATTGTTTTGCTTTGGTGAAACTAGAAGTAAATCCTGTATTAGTAAAAACAGATTTTGGATACATTTACATGCAGTAGTTAAAATGCAAACTAAGAAGTCAAGGTAAGAAACCAGTTTATCTTATTTGCTATATTTGAAGTGTGCCCAAATGTACACAAGAGAGTCCTGTTTTCACCATTTCTCCTAAAAATATTTTGTGAATTTGACATGATAGTAACTTGTAACCGTTTCACATTTTTTTCAATTATTCAGATGGTGGATGTTTTTAATGTTTCTCTTTTTTCCTTATATTTTTTTAATACTAGTATCCACCTTTAACCTCTCCAGTTCCTGAATTTCTCAAAACTCCCTCTGCAATCGAACAGCACGTTACACGTTCTACTGCTACAACTACCCTGACCACAAATACTGTATCTGCAGCAAAGCCTGGGCCAACATTAGTAAAGGTAGGTATCTGAAATAATGGCATCTGAGGACTATGTTCTTAATCTATGTCCTTTTCCAATGCTATATTTAATGAAAAAAATACACGAGTAACATTATAGTGCCTATAACTAACAACAACTTTTATTAGTGTTCAGGAGAACATACTGGGTTGTTTACTGAAAGCTTTTGTATGCTAAGATCAACCACTAACACTTGTAGGGTGTTGTGATTTAGCCCCAGCCGGCAACTAAGCACCACACAGCCGCTCGCTCGCTCTCCCCCGGTGGGATGGGGGAGAGAATCAGAAGAGTAAAAGTGAGAAAACTCATGGGTTGAGATAAAGACAGTTGAATAGGTAAAGCAAAAGCCATGCACGCAAGCAAAGCAGAACAGGGAATTCATTCACTACTTCCCATTGGCAGGCAGGTGTTCAGCCACCTCCAGGAAAGCAGGGCTTCATCACGTGTAAGGGCTACTTGGGAAGACAAACACCATCGCTCCAAATGTCCCCCCTCTGCCGCCGCCTTCCCCCAGCTTTATATGCTGAGCATGATGTCATATGGTATGGAATAGCCCCTTGGGCCAGTCTGGGTCAGCTGTCCCAGCTGTGCCCCCTCCCAGCTTCTTGTGCACCTGGCAGAGCATGGGAAGCTGAAAAGTCCTTGACTGGTGTAAACACTACTTAGCAACAACTAAAACATCAGGGTGTTAGCAACATTATTCTCATCCTAAATCCAAACCACAGCACTATACCAGCTACTAGGAAGAAAATTAACTCTATCCCAGCTGAAACCAGGACACCGGGACTGGCCCATTATTTCAAGAGGTCCTTACAGTACAGTTTACAAAAGTTTTCAAGCAGAACTATGCATTACGTTGCCATGGAAGTTTTTAAGAAGTAAGGACTACAGATTTTTGCAATATTGATTTTCTACTTTCTATTGGTGAAATTAATCTTTTCTAATATAGTTTTGTATGGAGAATAATTTAATGGGAACAGAGGCAACCGCATTCATAGTCTACCTGTAACCAAACTAGTGAACAGCATTGCTCCTTTTCCGCAACTGTTTTCTTAGTTCATTTATTGTATAAGCAGAACGCACTGTGAGAGAAGTTACTGTGTCCTTGTATCTGAATATCAGAAGAACATACTCAGTTCTCTTTTCTGCGCTGACCTAGCCAGCAGCATGGAAAGCTTTTTCAAATACAATTAGAGAGGGGGTTGTGGTAGAAGATGTCTATAATATTTCCTTTCAGCAACTGTGCCAAAGATATTCACCTGTGTAATGATTATATGTATGTAGACTTCTACCTAACTACATGAAATTAATTCTCAGGTAAATTTACAAGGATGACCTCTAATAGTCAATTTCTAGTATAAATTTAGCTATACCCAGTGAAATCACTGGACTTGTACCAGCTTACTTAATGCAGGACCATAATGACAAATTCAGATATTCCCCAAAACAGGCTATCTGTGTAATAAGTGTGCATGGACCAACACAGGATTTCTGCTTTGATACCTTCTGTATGACTAGGTAACTGCCTTCAACTTTTCGCTGAAAATAATTTAAAGAGCTTGTAAAGGAAGAGAGTTTTACCACATGCGCAGGTATTGCTAATAAGGGTACTGCTGAAAGTTTCATTAGAGTAATCCTGTAATTTATAGGACTGTCTGTTCATTGTTTTAATCTAGACCTGTAAGTACTTCTGACCTGCACGTGTTTACAGATGGACTTTAGGATACTAGCTTGTACAAAGTGCTAAGTGGCTTTGAACTGTTTAAGAAGAATGTCTCTTTGCAGTGACAGGTCATAACTAGCAGAATCCCTTAGCTTCATTTGTGCCATCTATTAAAAAAACATTCACAAACTGTGATTTGATGACCCCTTCTTGTGCACAGTATAAGCCAGCTGGAGTACGTTAACTGTTCAAGGATGGTAAGCGATCCTTTGGGCAGGTTTGCAGGGGTAATTGTATTCAGCAACTCTTCACAGTAAATGCGTTCCTGTATGCTTTATCTTTGTACCTTGAGTAACTGCTTGTAAATGAGATGTCAGTTATAGTTGTTTCAATCTTTTCCATCCGTAAACAGCAAAGCCACCCAAAGAACCCAAATGATAAGCATCGGAGCAAGAAATGTAAAGAACCTAAGCCAAGGGTGAAAAAATTGAAGTATCATCAATATATTCCACCTGATCAGAAAGGTGAGAAAAACGAGCCACAGATGGACTCCAACTATGCTCGTCTGCTACAACAGCAGCAACTGTTTTTGCAGCTGCAGATCCTGAGCCAACAGCAACAACACTACAACTACCAGACAATTCTACCTGCACCGCTAAAGTATGTTAAGCATTGATTGTGTTCTTTAAAGAAAAGATTCGTGCATCAGTTATAGACTTTGTGCTTTAGAAGTACATATGTTTTGCAAATGTTAAGAGGCGGTTGGAACCCAAGAAAACTTAAATGGCAATATGCATCACCGTGGGTATTATTTGCCTCATTTAACAAGGTGATAAGGTGGTTCTCTTGTTAAAATACTCCTGAAGTCTGATAAGCCTTTAAGTGGTCCTAGTTATTTTTGTGTGACAGGGAAACAGAACCTCCTACCTGTCAGATGCATTTTTTTTTTTCCCATCAGATGCGTGTTTGAAACTCAAAAGCATTTATGTGAAAGCAAGCAAGTTTTGACACCATTTTCACTCAAATATGACATAGGTAGGCAGAGCAGAATAGAAGGTTACAGACGATGGCTTTTACAAAGACACGCACTATTGTTGTGTTTTTACTGTCTTTTTACATCAGTTTCACAGACCACATTTTTGCAATTTACAAATAAGAAGAAACAGTCATTTTAAATTAGGTAAAATTTCTATGTTGGTTATAGCCTCACCTCTAATGCTTATGAATTCCTCATCAGTGTTGATCTCTAGCACTTTTAACAGTGAGAAGTATAATTTCTGATTAATAGATAGAAGCAGTCAGAAAACTAAATCTTCAAAGAGTTGCCAGCACCCTATAGCGGAATGAGAAGCTGACTATCTGCAGACTTTCATTCTCACCATCTAAGACCAGTCTTTTCCTAGAAGTGCTTACAGTATAACATGCCAGTCACACAACCCTAAATTCAAATTACTTTCAACTGGGTTTTTTTTTGTTTTTTTTTAAATGAGTTTTCACTGAGTTATTTTTCTTCAGCAAGTGAGGCTAGAAAAGTTAAAGATACCATCTGTGGTTATATTTATAATTACCATGTATCCTAACATTTGGACTAGAGATGTTTCTGCCTGCTTACCCACGCTTCTTATGTTCCATTTACTGACATTTCAGAAACGTTTCTTCATAAATCAGTTGACCGAACTAAGAGAGCTGACTTATGCTACCTAGTGTAAATGATGGAGTTTTTAATTTTTTTACAATTATTTTGAGATCCTTGTAGGAGATTCTTCTTATGAGTACAGCCGATAAAAATGCGTCATCTTCAGAGTAAATTGCCTTCACATTGGTCCTTACTATATATGAACAGTGGACGTGTATGTAGGGTTGATCGATAGAGTTCAATATTGTGGGCTTTTTTTATTGATGTCAAACAAAAAAGTAACTAGTTGCCCTAGCTGATGATTAATTTGTATAAACTGATTCTGCAGTCCATAGTATTCTTCAGGGATGCCATGACAATAATAAAACCCATTAAGCATAAATTAGTACGCTTAACTGAAGAAAAAATAAAATATCAACACACACTGTTATGTTTTCTTCTCTGTGCTGTTTTACTAAAAATATTTAATGGTAATGTTTTATGTTAAGTATTTGTAAATAAAATAAATTTGTTCATGAACTTGATAGAGACTAGATTCAGAATCACAGCTTCTTGATTGAAAACGTAAATATATTTAGCATTGACATTATTCTCCTCCTTTTTCTTATCACTTGAAGGCCACTGAATGACAAACAGAGTAACAACGGGAATGCGCCACTGAACACTTTGAACAACAGTACACCAACATCAGCTGCCAGCTCACCAAGACAGAACAGTAATATTCCTAGCCGGAAACCAGGACCTCTACCTTCAAGCTTGGATGACTTGAAGGTAAAAAATAAGAGGGATTTGTCCATTCCTGTGCATCGCTGTAGGTGGTTGTAACTTGCAAACTGTTACTGTCAAGAATAAGCCTGGATATTATTTACCAATGAAAACTGTACTTTTCTCTTAACTGTTTAGAACAATGTTGTCAAAGTTTTCATACACAACTCTTCTGGACTTAAATATTTGTTTTGACCTAGCCTCCTCACAGGCATGTGTTCTAGAAACTACGTTTCTTTCCCAAAGCATTAGAAGAAGAATTTCGGACAGATTGCATAGGTGCATAATTTGATACCTTGGGCAAACTAGGTATCAAAGGTGCGCTTCATGTGAAGTTTTAGCCCAGGCAGATTCAAACACTGGAACAGTAATTTCCTTATGACAATTTTAGTATATCAGTGAAGAGGTTTAGTTAAGCAGTATAAGTTAAAAGATGCCCTAATAATAACATATTCAGAGAGGTCACTGCTATAAAGCCAACACAGAAATAACACTAGTAAAAGAGAATAGAAAAGAAGAGATCTTTTTACCAGGGTTCAACACATCATCTGAAAATGAACACTAAATTTCATAAAAGCTTCTTGAAGTTTATAAATAACTGTGTAAACTCTGTTTAAACTGTAATATGAAGGCATTGCAGAGGATTTTCTTCCTTCAGAAATACATTACCAGGAATTAATACTGTGAGGGACCTAATGAAAGTTAATCTGAAGAAGCTTGTGGGGGTTTACATTCAGATCATTTCAATAGCAACTACATGAATGTGCCAAACCTGAGCGGGGGAGTAGGGACATCTAGTGGGAAGTTTATTAATTTCTCCCTTCCTTTACCAAGGCGTGTTGGGTTTCTGAGGGATGGGAGTGAGTATTTTTTTTAGATTTGAAGGGATAAAAGAGAGGTTTTGGAAGATCAGATTCTCAAGACAGTAATGTGTGGTCATCAGCTAAAGCCAATCTTTTAATATGAAACAAGTCTATAAAATGCAATTCAAACAACAGTGTTTGAAATAAGCTTTTCAAACTTTTAAGTTATTAACTATTAATTTTTTGAGATATTTAAGTTAATACCTGAATTTGTGTTTTGCAGTGATTAAAGCTGTTCACTTATCCATTTCTGCATAATTTATTGGTATTCCTGCTAATGTGGTAACAGTAACATAAGCCATACTTGGAGATCTGCTGGTGGTGGTTTTAACACTAAATCATCTAAATCAGTTCTGATTAAGAATTCAGAAATGCATTGTTGAAAAACAGAAAAATTGGAGTGCACTCTCAAGCAAGTGTAGAGGATACCAGCCTGGGGGAAACAGCTCATAATCATTGTTAGGTAGACAGTTATTTAACATAAAATTGCTGTGGTTCTTCGAGATGCACATGGATTGCTGTGACTTTTCATAATTTCCAAATCATGAAGATCTACAATTTAAAATTCTAGACTGGCAGAGTACTGAAATATTACTGAGGTCACTACCTTTTATTCTTTTAGAGTTGGTTCTAACGTACATATAGCCCAAACACTCTACAGTTAGATGCGGTGTATGCATATCATAAACAGAAGCCATTCATTGTTCTTTTTTAATTGACATTTTGAAGCACAGAACTAATTTACACTCAGCACATTTTCATTTCACTTTGTCTGTAAGCTTACTGGAAAATTGAGAACATATTTCTATCAGAAATTAGACTAATTTTGACTGCTTATACTTTTTGTGTTTGTAAAAGAAATCCATATGGCACCTAGCTGTAACTGTTCAGTTGCTAATTAGAGAGAGAGCCTTGTGTTTGATGGGTCTATTGAATCTTCCAACTGACCTGATAAAATTTCTCAGAAATAGATCTATCTTTCTTGATGGTGTAACAAAGGGGTTCAGCGTGCTGGTGTTCAGTGCTTTTATCTGCACTTTTATCTGCATCGCGTACAGGTTTGCTTCAGAAGTTTTTAGCCCAGAACTGGAGCTGTATGTTCATTTTCCCATTTTGAATATTTATGAAAAATCAGCATAACTTTGCTGCTATTTATTGTACAACAACTGAACACTACTAAAGTTTCAGCCACTTAAACAATGAAAGTAAGTAGCAGGTCATGGAAATGTGCTCACGGATTATGCACGCTGTCAGAACCCAGAGGTGTAATAACTAGCGAATATGCCGAAAAATAATTTTTCTTACTAAGATGTAGTAAGGTGGAATGTATATAAGTAAGTTTTAATTTTTTTTTTATTTTTTTTTTATTTTTTTACTATTGTGCTTTATTTTATTTCAGGTAGCGGAGCTTAAAATGGAGTTGAAATTGAGGGGATTACCAGTATCTGGAACAAAAACAGATCTTATTGAGCGTCTGAAACCCTATCAAGATCTTAATAACAATGGGGTTGCTACTAGTAGCTCTGTTACAGTAACCACTTCTACTGGGGCCACAGGTAACACTGGGGAAGTGACTGTGGCATTTCCTGTTGCAACACTAAATAAGCCAGTGGCTAACACGATATCCAGCTTTCCTCCAGAAAAAACAGCTACTGGACCTGGCTGCAAAGTAGTAAATACTGAAAACATCAGCTCTCCTTTGCCTATATCTCCCTCTCCTTCAGAACAATCTAGTCTAAGCACAGATGATACTAGTATGGCAGATACTTTCACAGAAATGATGACCATGATGTCACCATCCCAGTTCTTAAGTACTTCGCCACTAAGAGCAAATATGAGTGATGATAATCAGAATCGCAGTAGTGGAAGCATCTCAACCATGGAGTTCGATGTAGCAGAAAAGGACCGCAAGCTTCAAGAGAAAGAAAAGCAGATTGAAGAGCTCAAAAGGAAACTGGAACAAGAGCAAAAGCTTGTGGAAGTACTGAAAATGCAACTTGAGGTTGAAAAACGGGGACAACAGCAACAGTCTCAGGCTTCTGGTAACTCAACTGCTTTGGAACAGAAGCAATTCAGTCCTGCTGTCAAAGATGAAAATGCTCTTACTGACTGCTCTAGTACAAGTCAATCTGTACCTGTAGCTAGTCATTCTTTAGGACAATCGGTATATACTAGTGGCCAGAATCCAGTTGCCAAAAAGGCGGTTGTTATCAAGCAGGAGATACCTGTGGCCAAAGCTGAACCTCAGAATGCCATTTCTCAATTTTATGTTAACCCACAGAGGCAGCCACAAACTGCAGTTGTTGCCCAACCTCAAGCTTTATTAACTACTCAAGGAACTGCACAGCTTCTCCTTCCGCTGTCTATCCAGGGACCGAATTCTACCACTGCAGTGCAGCTACCAGTTGGAAATATAAAGTTGCAGGTAAGGGTGTTTTTATTTTTCATCATGTATACTGCATGGTGCTATTTGCATAATTTAGCATAAATAGGTAAATGTGCTGCTTGTAAGATTAACTTAAAAATCAGGCTTAGCCTGTTTCTGCTTTAGGGAAAAGAGTAGAAAAACTTAAGAGCCAATCTCTTTATAACTTCTTCTAGTACTTGCTTTCTTTGTGACTTTTGTTCCCAGATACTCCTTCCTGAAAAGTAATTCTTACCCTGTACTGCCTCCATGCACAGTTGGTTTTGATTTATATCAGCATATACCCATATTTTGTTAACTCCAAATTGTAATAGACAGCTACAAACCCAGTACTTTATTTTGAGGTATACCTGTTTGCAAAATGCGTGCTTGAACTTCCTTGTGTGGTGATGGCTCATTATATTTAAAAATGTGAATGCTGGGTTGTAGAACTCCAGTGGAGTTATAAAAAGAAACCATGGTTACACAAATATTATTTCTAGGCTGATTATAGGTAGTATCACAGTGAATAAATACAGCATAAACCAAGACAGGTTATAAATGAAGAGGTATAAGAGTAATCTGACCAAGCTGAAAGAGTTTAACCTGTGGGTCTAAGGTAGAATTAAGCATATACTTCCCAGTGGCATTACTGGGACATAGGTAGATGAAATCCCCTGCCACCCACATGGTTATTGTGCCAGCAAAGTATTCTTTCAGCTCCAGCGTGCACTTGGGTGTTGTGGCGTGTTGTGGACCTAGGCTTTGGTGCTAGCGTGTGCACCATCACATTTAGCAATACTTATGAGGACTGTAAAATTCTGATGGGGATGGGCTCTACAGTCCACAGTGCAAGAGCTATTCCTGGTAGCTACACACCCAGACAGATCTTTGTCTAAAATCCTGCTAGAATTCTGTAACAACCTTAAGCAGCTTGTTCTGGTATTTCACTTCACTGATATTGCAGAAAGTTTTCCTAACTACCAGCTACCTTTCCTGAGGTTAGACACTGCTTGCCTTTCAGTGGCCATTGAGAACTACTATGATCTCCTTAAAAACAACATTTTTCTTGCATCATCAGTTTTGTCTTTCTGGTTACTCAAACCCAGTTCTTATAGTCCTTTCTTGCTGGTTATGCTCTCTCTATCTCTTAATATTTTCATTGCTCTTTACTGATCCCTCTCCAGTTTGTCTTTATCTTTCTTAAACTCTGTTGGCAAAATAAACGTCACCTTGTAGCTGGGAACTCACCAGTACCAAACAGAGTAAAAATTTTGTCTCATACACAGTTCATGCTCATCCTTCCCAGAATACTTGCTATTGCTATTCTGCATAATCTGTGCAATAGATTTTTACATGATGTAATTTCTGTAAGATACGAATAATGCAAATATTTTATCTTCATCCTTCAGGCTCAATCACAAGCTGGAATACAGACCCCATCACAAATACCTGCTCCTATTTCTTCCTCTGGCCTGGTCCAGACAGCACCTCAGATGCATACTCCACAATCAAAACAAAATACCATCACGCAGCATGCACTTGGTCAGACCCAACAAATCAGAAAGGTTTGTGGATAGCAATAAGCATTACGATAAATAGTTGTGTAATCTAATTCTAGGCAGTGCTTTTAGAATCTTTTATGTGTCATCTGCGTCATATATAAATGATCGAGTCACCTAACATGAGTGTACCATGTTTTTCTGTGTGATACAATGGGCTTGGAACTCCTTCTCTTTCCAAAATATTAGTCTGTGCAGGACTTTATTTTTCAGTTGCAAATAAATACATAAGGATAAAGACTTTTTATCTTAATGGTACTCTTATGGCACCACTCTTACTACGTTCTTCCTTATGCTTGGCACAAGTGGTATACCAGGTACTCCAGTCAGTTTCTCTTGCTTGCCACTGGCTCAAAATGGAAGATTCTTGTAGGCAGTTCTTAAGAGAAAGCTTTTGCCTATGGTTTCAGAGATTTATTCTTTTATAGGAGTTCCTTTTAGTTTTCCTACTTTCCCTGTTGATTTCATCCTTACTTATGAAGAAAGCTATGGACTCAGATGCTGAGGGTAGCAATTCTAGTGAGTCAAAACCCCACTATACCTATGGTGCATCTCTTCCTGAGGAATGCAGGGAATGATTCAGAGAGATATCCTTCTCTGCCTCTCTACCCAAAACAATCAGCTCTGAAATTTCCCATTCCAAAACAGATGTTCATCAGCACTTGGATGCACAGCTGTGAGTCCCAATCCAATCATGTTCATACGGTAACTGATATCAACCCATCAGCACCAGTCATCACAAACGAAAAGGTTTTGTCCTCTTTTGAGCCTCTTCCAGGCTGACCTCTATTATTACGAGCTCACAGATTGGTTTTGGACCTTTCTTGCTTCCTTATCAGGCTATCGAGTCTAAGGCTCCTATCACTTAGGAGAACAATGTTTTTCAGCCTGCCCCAAGGAAAGGATAATTCAGAAACAACCGAAATTTCAAGATGAAGAGGGTAATTTTTACAGTATGTTATGTAACTGTTACAAAATATCTCAGCCTTCAAAGTTTATATTTCAGTTTACAAAAGTGCATCATAAAACCCATGTTGTGATGTGATTTGGGGCTTCTACCTGTGCAGTGTCCTCTAATCTGTTTCTGCTAAGGCTTTTGTTCCAGGTAAGACTTTATCTTAGAAGATATATGATTATGCCCTGCCATTCTCTAGACAGCTGGCTAACAAAGGGGAACACACCTAAATGAGCATCATCACTCTTCAGACTGCTTGTTCAATCAGTTTAATTTCAAGGATATGAAATTCCTACAGAAGTCAAAACTGGCATATATCCAAAAAGCAGATTTCATCTAGGTTCTCTGGGATTTGGTGAGGGGCTAATCTTACCTTGCTAATTTGACAGGTCCCATATAGAAATTTTCCAGTCATCCTGAGGCACATACTTGTTCCAAAGACTAGCAGTTTGCTTCCTTTGCTATCTAGAAGTTCCTTGAAATGATTGCAGGAGATAACCAAGAATTGTACCCTCTGGTCTTTCCCCCTATTCAGATCAGTTGTCATGGAGACCACATAGTTCTCAGCAGACTTTAGTCTGCATCTTGCTGTCCTGGAGCTGAACAGCCTGCCTATCCTAGCTGTTTTTCTCACACATCTACTGCCATCTTTTACACAGGAAACCAGACGGCGTAATTGCACTGGTTTTTACATCCGAATGTAAAATACTGACGTGATACGATATATCAGGACAGTCTTCATGCATTCAGCATTAGATCCGCTTGTCTGCTGTTTGCATTTCATGATGCTTGGATATTTCAGCAGGCAGATTGAGCTAATGAACTGTGAGTGAGTAATGCTACTTATTAATTTAACACTTTTCAGTGAAGTTGGTCTTCCTAATAGTGATCACCTCCATAAATAGTTGTTTTCCAGAACAAGTTTCCTTTGAATCCATTTAGACTTTCTCAGATAGCTCAGATTTTTATGCAAACCAGTTGATTATTCCATTTATTTTCTCCTACACACTTGAGGTGTCAAGATCTTCACATTCTAGCTACCGCACGGCCCTTGTTCTTCAGTTCATTCAGTAATAAGGAGACATCTGCACAGCCATTCACCTCAGTGGTAGACAGCTGGAAAGCACAACAGTTTTCACACAGATGATCCAGGAGGCTAACAAAAACTGCATTAAGCCTTCCCACAGCAGACTTAATTTGGTATTCAGATTGCACTCCACAAAGCTTATCCTGGCTTTATCTCCATCCCTGATCTAAGATTCATCACACCTTTGTCATAAAGGTATCTGGGAGTGATACTGAATTTAAAAGAACAGCCTTATGCATTCATACATTCATAGCTCTTTTTCCTCTCCCTTTAACGTAAAAATAGGAGAAGTAGGATACTGCTTGGAATCATTTGCAATGAGTGTATGGACTATCAGTTGAAGAAATAAAAAGTTTATATACCAGTAATCAAATTCACAGTTGATATCCAAGGTTCATCAGTTATATCTTTTGCCTCTCCCTCACTACTCATAGATATCTGTAGCTAAAAGAAATTAGAATTATATGGCACAAACCAAACCATTCTGTCTTAAAGCAGGCAGCATAGGATAAGTGTGGATACATACACTAGTTTGTATCAGGCCACAAATAAGTTCATTTTATTGACTGTCCACGAGGTGGGGAGATCATGCATACTGTATTAAACCGTTCCATACTCTTCTGAATGTATTTCGGAAAAATTATATTACACTTTCTCATGCTTCCTGGAAAACTGCAGGAAAATATTTTTAGTTACCAGTGATGAATGAAAGCATGTCACAGCACAAAGTTTCTTTCAAAGAGTAATTTTTCTAGATTTACAAACTATTCCACTGGAGGGAAAAAATCAGTATAAATAACATTCCATTAATAGGGAATTTAAGCAAGCAAGTATTTAAAAAAGAAAAAAAGGTCTTAAACTTTATTTATGTGATTTACCCAACGTTATTAATGAAAAAAAAAAAAACCAAAACCACAACTTAAGACTGACGTATTAATCCTTTACAGGTTTTTCCACCTACCACATCAAATACAGTATTTTCCTATCAGACTGCACCGGTTACAACACCTTCACAGTCTTTTATTAATAAAACATCAAACTCTAACATTCACGCTGGTAGTAATCAGGTTCCCTCTGTGCAGAATGGACCTGCTACTCCTAATAAGGTAAGATTAGCCCAACAATGTTCCATAAAGTTCAGTTTTATATTATTATTCTTAAATAGCATGTGACTGTGTGCATACTGCAGTTCACTCAAGGAGGAAGAATGTTTTGTAGATTTTAATAACACATATATGTATGTATGTGTGAGCAAGAAAGAAACTATTATTTTATCCCTCTGATTACCTATGCTATTGTTATTTGTAAATATGTAGATTGGTACGACAAAATAGGATAATCTGTAGAACTTGATACATCTTGAATTCACTGGAATGTATTGTTTAGTCATTATTTTGTTATTTCACGCAGCCTGGCTCTCCATCTCAAGCCCAGCCTTATATTGTTCAACAATCCCTCTTCAACAACACAGTATCCAAGACAAAAGATCCTCCTCGTTATGAAGAGGCCATAAAACAGACCCGCAATATGCAGACATCGCACCGTGAGGTAGTTATTTTCTCCTGTTTAGTCTATTAAAAACATCTTTTTTCTTTAGAATTATCAAAGCCATTGCTTATTTTAGTTTTTTGTTTGGTGTCAAGATTTTCTAACACATGCTGTTAATATTTTCATAACAGTGTCTACCTACAGGACTCCTGTTTCATGATTCTTTTTATTAAAGCAACAGACACGTAAATAAGTCTTACAGTGTCCAGTGATATATATAATTGGGATAATGCTGCTATTGCTACTTAACAATAACTAGCCTTCAGCTGACTTGTTTCATGGATGTATGATACCCAAACTTTACACTTAAAAGAGAGAAAATACATTCATATTTTCCAAAGTGACTAAACTTAAGGAGGATGTGTGCGAGTGTGTTTATACACACTTAAGCAAACATATATATGAATGAGCATAGGTGGTTTCTTCAAAAGAGTCTATATTTAGTGAGCTTGATGAATAATCTTACAGAATGCTTTGTCAGTTTACCATGATACCCTTCCTGTTGGAGGAAAGTTGCAAACAAAACTAATGAGCATCCTTAACCTCACGCGTTTCAGAACTATCCCAAAAGATAAAACCTTGTAGTGACTTGGTATTGGTTGCTGGTTTTGTGGTGGCAGACACTGAGGCAGAAGCATGGGTCTCTAATGCCATTTCATGTGTTCTTGGCATGTGTGAGACATCCTCACGGTGAAGGCACACGGCTCTTCTTATGTGACTCTGTTGCTACCAGTTAGCAAAGTGCCTCCCCATTGGCCTTTTTCAGGTGCTAAATCTCCTGATGACAAATTATTTCCCATCTCTGGAGTATAACCAATGTTTTAAAACAGTGTTTTAGTTTTGAGACCATCATAAAAGTCTCCACTTTTCCTAGACCATTTTTGAAAGAATGGGTTTGTGGGGGTTTTGTTACTTTTTGCCTCAGGTTCAGATATTCTGGAGATGGCTGTTTAAAACAAACAGATAAGCAGTTGATGAAAGCTTCCTCCCCTTTAAAAAAGAAAAGAATGAAGAATGAAAAAGAAACATGAATTTACAAATTGGGGAAAAAAAAAAAACGTACCTAACAAAATGCATCTTACATGATGGCTATTCGCAGAATATCTTTGAGAGAAAGCAGTTCAGGGTGCACCCCCAAAGTCCTGCAGTTATTCCAGATACTTACCCTGCTACAAACCAGGGTTAGTAATTCTTCTTATCCCTAGTTTTCTGCACCTCTCTTCTAGGTTGCCTTCATGAAATCTTTGTCTTGCTTTTCAGATTTTTTCCTTATTCCTTTGTACTGAAACTGACCACAGGGATTACAAGTGTCTCTCCAAACTATTTCTCTGTTTTCTAGATTGACAGTTTCATATGAAGAATTTTAGTCTTGAACCATAGGTTAGTACTTATGTACTATTGAGAGAAGCAAGGATCAATCAGCTTAGGAAAAAATACTACATGAAAAAGAATAACCCTTTTCTCATGCACTACAGGTTTCCAGTGCGCACAGTCAGCAGATGGATGATCTTTTTGATATTCTCATCAAGAGCGGAGGTAAGCTAATTGACATCTGTGTAATATAGTGATTTAAAACTTGATAATAAAAACTCAGTGCTATAATCAAATGAAAGAATTCTTCCAGGGAGAGGAGGTAGAAGCTATCCAGCCTGGATGAAACTAGTATTTCTGAAAGTTTGCAATAATTATCTATTAAAGAAAGCATTTACCAAAACACATACAGTCAACCTGCTGTGGAACTTCTCTGCTTGTAAATTAGCCCAAGCAGACCTTTACAATAGTCCATTCAGCATTCAAACGTGTACTGCATTCAGCTCTGGGGCCCTCAACATAAGAAGAACATGGACCTGTTGGAGCGAGTCCAGAGGAGGTCCATGAAGATGATCAGAGGGCTGGAGCACCTTTCCTGTGAGGACAGGCTGAGAGAGTTGGGGCTGTTCAGACTGGAGAAGAGAAGGCTCCGGGGAGACCGCGCACCAGCCTTCTGGTACCTGAAGGGGGCCTGCAAGAAAGCTGGAGAGGGACTTCTTACAAGAGCACCTAGTGATAGGACAAGGGGTAATAGCTTTCAGCTGAAAGAGGGTAGATTTAGATTAGATATAAGGAGAAAATTCTTCATGATGAGGGCGGTGAGGCACTGGAACAAGTTGTCCAGAGAAGCTGTGGATGCCCCATCCCTGGAAGTGTTCAAGGCCAGGTTGGATGAGGCTTTGAGCAACCTGGTCTAGTGGAAGGTGTGCCTGCCCATGGCAGGGGGCTTGGAACCAGATGATCATTAAATTCCCTTCCAACCCAAACAATCCTATGAAAATAACACCTTAGGTTAGCACGGATGTATTTTATCAAATTGGAAAAGTTGAGCAAGTCCATGTAATTGTATATTGAAATTACACAAAAAATAGAATAAGGTAAGAGTTGAAGGATGTTGATATTAAAATTTCATTAAATATAACCATGTATTATCAACTCGAAACATGAAAGACACATTACTGGAAAAAGTATGTATGAACCACATAGAGACATTAATGAATAACAACTTTCTATGTCAGTTAAAACAAGGGAGCTATCAGAAAGGAACTGAAATAACTAAAGTAATATACAAAGTAGCTTTGCAGTAAAAGGAGGAGGCTTTCAGGCATAATTAGGCTTTGTAGACTAAGAAGCTATTACAATACTGGGAAATGTTCTGGTGCCAAGCAATTCAATTAACTTAATGTTTTGTACTACTGTTGTATAAGGATCTTGACAGCAGTGAATGCCAGTACATAAGTGACTGATTGTAGGCTATTAGAAGATTTTAGCCATATTCTAAACATCAAAGTATTTTCTCTTTTTCAAAGCAAATTGCAAAGTCAGCTGAAGAACATGAAGTAGACAGTGACAGACTGAGATAAGTGACTTGTGCAGTGAACAACTAAATTCAAAAATGCTTTCAGTGCTTTTATTAAAATATTGCATGGGTAGTTCAAAGAAGTTCTACCTCTAGAACAGAGGACGTTAGGAAGATTGGTGTGCTTACTTAAATATTTGCTTTGAGTGTTACATTACTAAACCTATTTGATCTTAAAGGTAACAATTGCTCCGTGTTTGCAAAGTTGCCATAAAAAAGCAAACGTTTCCTGATCATCTTTATGAAAAACGAAGTAAAGCAGTCAGGGCTCTTGCACTTACGTGAGTTCTACACTGAAAAATGTTTAGTTTATTAATGTACTTCAAGAGAGTGAGAGGGTCCGTTTAGTAATGTTTTGCTTTTACTAAGCAATCATTTCAATAGATGCTCCTACAGGTTTGCTTGGAAAACTGGTGCAAAATGTATTGTCAGGTATACTTTTGCTGGCAGAAACATCATCTGTGCCAGAGGATTTATTTGTATATTCTGGTCTGTCTGATCTTGTGTTTGGACTCCATTCGCATATAAGAATTAATTGGAACTTTGCTTTATTTCCTTTTATTGTTACTGCCACTATCTTACATGGAACATCTTGACAGAAGAGTAGTTTTAGATTCTATAATCAGGAATAAACGCATCCTAATCCCATCAATTGATCTCTTAGACTAATTCATCAAGGTGGACAAAGTACTAAACAGGGATGGAACTGAAAATTGGTTCGGGTACTCTTCTCTAAATGAGGAAATGTGTTGGTTCCATAATTATTCTAATTAGTCAGAACTATAAACATGAAGGAGGTAAACCTAACATCTAGAAAATTGTTCCTTTTTTCATCAATATAAATATTCCAATTGACTGAAGTATTACTGAAAGCGGAACTCTGGAACTTGTTTTAAAATACTTTGTTGTTCATAGAGTACCTGACATAGTTGTCTGTATGTAGTGTTTGTATTATCAGAACAGCAAAACGACTCTTACGCCATTGAGTTCACTGTGGATGCATCTCAAAGTGGGCAAAAACAGTGTAAAAGTTGTAAGCCTGAGGATATATGTCGTCATTCTTTCTGAATTCAATAGTGGGGTTTTTTTTGTTACAGAGATTTCCCTTCCAATAAAGGAGGAACCATCTCCCATTTCTAAAATGAGACCAGTAACAGCCAACATCACTACAATGCCAGTGAATACAGTGATATCCCGCCCACCACCACAAATCCAAATGGCCCCTCCTCCTGTGTCCTTAGAACCAACAACCAGCTTGTCCATAAGTTTGGAAAACCAACTTGAAGCCCTCTTGGATGGAACTTTACCATCAGGTAATGAAATTCCTCAACTGACAAGCAGTAACGAGGACAGAGAGTCATTTTCTTTAATTGAAGACCTCCAGAATGATCTGCTTAATCACTCCAGCATTTTAGATCACTCTCATTCACCCATGGAAACATCCGACCCACAGTTTACCACTAGTAATTCTTGTCTGTCTCTTGACCTTCCTGATACGAATTTGGACAATATGGAATGGCTAGACATTACAATGCCCAGCTCCTCATCTGGACTCACTCCTCTCAGTTCTACTGCCCCCAGCGTGTTTTCCACTGACTTTCTAGATCCACAAGATCTACAGTTGCACTGGGATTAAGCTATAGCCAATGAGAACATGACCTGCAAGTCTCTTTACAGCAGAGGTCCATTATTATACCATTCTGATTGCAGTTGAGGTAAATTAAGACAGTAATGTTTGGAAGAACAAATGCTTGAAGCTAATTCCTTATTGATTTTCAAGTTTACAACAGTGAATTACTTTATGCTCCTATCAGTAATGCAGATCAGGGCCCTCTGAAAGCTGTATTTCACAAGTCGAGAAAGGATGATTGTACTTACTGATTGAAAGTACCCCAAGGTAAATGCATCACAAATATTTAAGAAAGAAGTTATGTCTCCGACCTTGTAATGCTTAAATGAGCAACACAACATGGCTAAACTTTCAGAAGAAAAAGTGAGATTTCAACTGTCTATATTGACACAGTGAGCAAATGTTTGGGGGAGGGTGAGGTATCACTGCACTTCATTGTTCCTGTGGATAGCCTGAGCCAGGTTCAAAATGAATTGTGAGGGCAAAGGCAAGTAAAAGCACTGGCTGGTTCAGTGAAATTTCATATATCTAGTCTCTTAATTTGTTCAAGTTGTTTTTATATTTTGGTTTTGTGGTTTTTAAAACTCTTCCCCCATTCTTTAATCATGAGGGAAGAATTTAACTGCATCCAAAGGCACATTAAGTGTAACTGCAAGAAATCCACTGTAGCTATGCCAGGTAATACTGAGAACACTGAATTTTGTATAGCAATGCTCTGGATATAATAGCTAGGTTTTAATGTGTATATCAGATAGTTATTTGTATACTCTTTTAACTTTGTATAGCTTATTTTTGTGAACAGAGGGGAACAGTGGTCTTCAAACAAGAAATTACTATAATGGAAATAATAAATATCCTAATTTACTTCGTGTTTGAGGATATTTGTTAGATCATTGAATCCAGTATCTCAGCATATTAGAACAGTTTGAGGAAGTAGAAAAGTCTAATTAAAGCTGTTGTGCACTATGATCCTGCAAGCATCTATGCAAGAATAGTCCCAATGCCCTCAATAAAAGATGTTTGTAGGATCAGATCGAGTTGCAGGGGACAGTACTGACAGGACAACCATCATGAACAGCTTTGTCTACCACTACATAACATCAGCGAAGCTAAACAGAGAAGATGCTCAGTTGGAATCCTAAATAGCACACACTTACAGAAAATTATAAAAGGCTAATAAGCAGTATCAGGATGTACTGTTTTGTGATAAGAAGGCATATTTCATACCTGAAACGGACAATAGCAAAAATCAAGCTCTTACCTCACAGCACAGCAATGAAAATATTATTTTTTAAAGTCCTTAGTTGTTTTTTTTCAGAGTCTATTATGAAAGCAGTTGGAAAAACAAACAAAATAAAGTACTTTGTAATTCTATGGTTGTCTCTCAGGTAATAGCTGTTAAATGTTGCCATAGATGACATAGGCTGATAATCAAACATAAAATTGGAACTATTTCCTATTGGGGAATTCCTAAATTAAGGTAAAAGGAAACAGTCCCCTATTTCCTGAACAACAGAAACGTGATATGTTTTCTAGTCTGAAAACTGATCTCATTGCAGAATTCCTTCCTCGCCACCAACCTTCAAAAATAAAGTTTGGTAGGAACTAATGACAGAATGCCCTGAAGCTTTTGCTTACTTCTTAGAGTAATGATATGTATCAAAGACTATCAAAGAAATAATGAAAACAGAAAGTAGCTGTTAACTATTTAGCAACCTGTATCACATTTAAAAAAAAAAAAATCAAAACACAATCATGTTAATATCAAACAAAAATACTTTAGTCAAAAAATGTGGAATTAACTGCAAATTTATGTCTCCAGATATACAATGCAGTCTGGTTTACTAATATTATGGAATTCCATTGGTTTCAGATAAAATAGTGGTTATATCGTTGATTCAGGGTTTAAACTGGCATCATATGTTTGCGTCGTATCAGTTACCAGCACTTTAAATTATTATATATCTTCAGTAGTTTTACAGGCCAGGATTTACTTTAATCTGAAACTAAGCACAGAAAAACAATCTATAGAGATTTTCACAACAAAAGATGAAGTTGAAAGACATATCTCCTTATTCCTTCTTGCTGTGCCTACAATACTTGAGTACAATATTACACGTGGACTGTCTGCCTTAAATGTTGATGGTGTAGGACTCTTCAGTAACATGGAAAAAATACAGTCAACTTTTTCCATTCCTTTTCATCATATTATCTTGGAAGCTAATACTCTGAGATACGAAGTGCCCTCAGCTGTTACGAGAATAAGCACTAAGGACTCTTGGTCTGATAGGAACAACTTTGAATGAAATGTAGTGTTCTGCAGTACTGTCAATTTATTATGTGTGATACACCAGACATCGTACCACATATGTGTGGTTAGTTACCCCTTTTTGACCCTGCCTTCTGATTAAATAAGAGGCAAGTAAATTAATTTTTAGAGGACAAATTAACCTAGAGGAACTGTACTGTCATTTTTGATGTGCATGTAAATAGAGCTTAAAACTGGCAAAGTCATCTTGCTACAAAACTATCCTTATTGGCAGTGTAGAATGTTAACTAATCCATAGGAATCTATGTGCAGAAATAAACCCAAACAGTTGAGATGTGTTGTTATCAGTACAGTATAGCTTTCTACTCTAAAAGTCTATTTGCAAAAAAAAAAAAAAAAAATTATTAAAAAATTAAAAGGGATCATTTTAGTTTTTAAAGTACAAATGTTCTCGTGTAGGCAATGTGTGATTA